ACACTTTGTGTAGGTAACTTCGTGATCATTTGAAAGAGAAATTAATTTACCTACTCAGATTTACGTGTTTGAAAAATCTAGCAATAACTGTTGTAAATATAATTAATCCAAATCTATTCATTAACCTTTGACTGCTCTTTCCGATCACCATTATGGCAGGCCTTCAACAAGTTCAAGATAATCTTTTTCAGTATTTCAGTATCTATTGAAAACAATAAATGCTCTTCAACGAACAATGTCTTCTGTGTTAATTAACTCATTAATGAACTATGCCTCCTGCGGGTACTCTTCAGCAACAGGGCTGTTCCCACTTTCATCGTAGGGATGGGGAAGCACCACCTGTGTGCACTGAACCATTAATTAATGTGTCTCACAACTGGGAGTTCTCACAAATGGGAGGACACCGTCAAACATGTCAGCGAGCCTGACCACCCGATCCCGTTAGTCGCCTCTTACGACAAGCATGGGTTACTGAAGATCAATTCTAACCCGGATCTTCACGGGTTCATGCAAAAGAAGTGGGACACTCAAGTACGTATTGATAAATTACATGCTATAAAACCCTATATTAGTTACACCTACTTGAGTTGTCAGTCCAGATTTGAAGAGGTATTCATGCGACGATGTCGTATTGGCCGTACTAGATATAATCATGAATACCTGTTAAAAGGCGAAGATCCTCCGTTTTGTGTCCCTTGCGATGAAAGAATCACGGTCAAGCATGTCCTGCTTGACTGTATTGATTTATCCATCACAGGGGATAAATATTTTAATGTCAAAACAGTAACGGATTTTTGAAGTGTTGATTATCATTTAATTATCGAATTTTAAAAAGAAATAGAGTTATTGGATAAATTTTATAAATGGTTTGTAAATAGATAAATATTTCAGTATTGGTAGTTTAGATTAAATTAGTAACTGAGATTATTAGTGGCTGTACCCTCGAAGGGGATTGAAGTACATGTATTGTAAAATTATGGTCCTCCTGCGACGGTACGTAAGTCCCAAAACATTCAAAGTAAATTTAAACCTACTACTATTTTTAATCGTAGTATGTAGGTTATTTTAATTTATGACTCGATTATCAAAATTGCTAATAGCTGAAGGGATGGTGTAAATCCAGCTAGGGTCCATGCAGGAAGAAAATGTACTGCAAGTCCCCATGGTCCCTAGTATAGTGATCTACCTTCAATGGTTGGCAATATATAGCCTATTTTTACATTGTATTGTCTTCTGTAATTAAAGTTTTGTTAACATTTTATCAATCACATTCTTTGAATGTATATGAGTGGTTTTCCCCCTAGAGTATTCATTAGAATTGAATTGTATAAAGTAACTCACAAAAATCGGCGTTTATGTATATGTTTCACGTTACATGTTCCCTGTGTAACAGAATTTTCTTTCGTTTTTGGTCACGAAATGGATTCCGGCTTTGATAGGAAACCCATCTGTGTATATCATGTTGTGTAATATAAGTGTTCAGATTGTCTCTTAATTCCATCCACGTATGGCTGTTCCTAAGATAGACCTGGCTGCCGTATTCTTATTGATGTTAAATAATCCATCATACGTTTTTTATCAGTTTATCTCATTAGGCCCGAGAGCCACTTCACTACTCAACGCCTGGAACCCCTTGCTGATTGCCCTGCTCGCTGTTGCGAAGCTAATTTGTGCTCAAGTCTAGTCGTACAAACAAGCTCTGATTGTTTAATTGTGTCGTAAAGATACAAGTTAAAAGAAAGCACTTGTGAATACATATCATGCATTTTAACATTTTATGTAATTTTATTGCAAGTTTCTCTTGTAGACCTTTGGCGGCTTGTACATTTATATTTTATCAACATAAGTATGCATTCTTTGTATGTAAGAGATGAGACATACCTAAACAAATTCTGTCACTTATATCATTGTGTGAGGTTAATTTTACAAAACATCTATGACAATGACATACTGTAATTTACTTACATGCTTTATAATCTTCTACGATATTAGCGTTTTTGCCGATACATCTATAGTGTAAACTGAATATTTCAAGGAAAGTACTATTACGCTAGTCTGTGACTAACATAGAGCACATTCATAATTTTGTTTCATCTAGATTTAATGCAAAAACATACGTTATCATACGAACATACATATACAAATTGTATAATACACATTCCTTGTATAAACATAAAACAAAGAGTCACGTGATAGGGCGTCATCAAATTTCCCCAATAGAACGTGCGGTATCTCAATTATTCAATATAGTTGCTGATCGTTTGTTGTCTATGACCAATCGTATCATGAGATACCTGTCACAGAGGTGATGGGGCGTGGGCGAAATATCTGAAGACCACGTTTAGTCACTCAACAGCTGGATAGAGATTGATTATTGGCTATGCCGCTGACCTGTCGATATGCTGGGTTTCGGCTTTATCAACTCAAGCTATCAAGCTATCACTTTCTAAATGGCATTGTGTAATCATAATCAAGCTATCATGTAACAGTTTGTGTATTGTAAACATACATAATCGTAACGATCTATGAAATACACACATAAGACAAATAGGAGTAGATAGACCTCAGAGATCGAAAACACATTTTAGTGTTTTTGATAAGTAAACAAAGTGATTGAAATCCAACCATTGAGTAGAGATAGTATTCATTTTCATATACATTTTACGCACACAACTAGTACATAAAACATAATGGTTTGCTGTACATATAATCTTCACCTTGATACGAATGGATTTCCAAATTAAAGTACACGTATTATAGAATTCAAAAAGTGACACGATACTGAATTATTATAATGTATATACTTGCAGTTTAATCCCCCCAAATATTTATGAAGATAGGTGTGCCTATATTTATACTGAATGTAAACGAGGTTTATAAGGTCACAGATATGCTTGTATGCATAAACATTAGAAAGAGGGGCGTGACTCCATAAAGCAGGTTGTCCAATGATATAACATCGCATTTGTTTATTTTACACTTGTCACGGGACAAACTTTCAACAAGGGCGTAACTACACATGCATTCTAACGGAGGCTGTTATTTCAAGGTCGAAAGAGGTGTTCGATTATCTCATTACTGTGATCTGATTGAATGATTATACGCATGTATATAGATACCGTAACTGATATACTATCCAGCTTTTATTGACGATGGATCAATAGAGACTGTGTTCATTGATACACGTGATAATTACACCGGATTTGATAATTACAGAGATCAAATACAAATGTTTTACATAATGCTCACGTAAATTGCATGGAAAACTGACAATTCAAATCAACATGAAACTTTCAACAGCTTGGACATAAATGCCTGAAATACCTTTGTATGGTTTACATGTAATATCTCACTCACTCACTTCTGGCTATGTCTAAGAATCTTTTGAATTACCAACTTACTGTGTTTTGTAACAAACGTAGTAAAACATTTCATTGTTGTAATAACACTGACATGTATATATATTCGATGCAAAGGCGCGACTTATCATTTTATGTTCGATTAGGTAATATTATCAACTTTAGATTATGGAAAATAACTAGTTACAATTCAGTAAGCTTTAAATTAGTAAGTTAAATCATGTCTAATCTATTCGAGCGTGGATGTATAATTATTTGTGTTTATACATTATTTTTCAATATATGAAACATGACAACGTAATAATACCTGAAAAGTAAATTCAAACTATTGTGTTTGAGTTCTTTGTATGTCCTTGAAATTTCTTATATTGTTACCTATTTCTTAGGAAGTTGAAGAAAACATAATCTTCAGTAACCTCTAAACCATTACATCTAATTCAATCAATGTGCAAAAGAGGGTTTTTTAGTATCCATTCCCAATTAAGAGTACCATACACTTACCTCTGTAAAAACATCATAATCCCCTTTCTCGCCGACATGTGTTCATTTGCCAAACGCTGTATAAGACTATGATAGTGATTAGCACTTGCTATCAAAACACTTTAAATACTTCTTCTGATTGACACTAAAGGTAGCATCTCTCGTAAGAAAGGCAAATATTTGCTCAGTACTACTAAATTGGTTGAAGTAATAGGTACAGTGCGATTTTTAAAGTACGACACACATGTGCGTCTCTCGCTGAATAAGAGAGTGCTTTCTGTTAACGAATATATGTGGCTCTCGCTGTGAGAAACTGCCAATTACCTGCCCCATAAACACGTCTCTCGTTGTGAGGAGCTGATTAATTTGCCCCATACATGCGGCTCTCGGCCTTAATGAGTTAAGTATACCTTGTCCAGGTATACACCTTATATGATACGATGTGCATAACCACATAACCACCTGTGTTGCTCATGTTGAGCCTGGCCGGTTAAATTGTCCGTAAAGGTTACTGTTCTGTTAATTCTAAAGGGGCCCTTAGAAGAGTATAAAAGGGTGACAATAGCGTATATATTGACATTGCGCCTTGTCCTCAAAACGTCAAGGGAAGACTAACTAGTGTTACAATATGTGTGTTCAATAATCTGTCCCTGGCTGATTTGGCGGTGTGAAATGTGACGTATTATGAATTAATAAGAACGAGATCCATCAGATTACAACTAAGATTTTGTGACACAACCTGACTTTCGGTATGTATACGTGACGTTTCGCTATAAAATACCACTGTATGCCGGAATTTTATTCTGACCAAGATCAATAAGAAAAGGAATCAAGAACAGAACACTTGGCTCTATATAATAGAAAAAATTGTTTCCATTTTCCTGTGACAAGGAGAAACTGCCAGTTTTTCACGAATTGATAATCATGTTTTCTGACAAGGAAAGGCAAAAGTCCAATATGTATGTGGTTGACAAATATATGCTTCCCTGCTGTTGATATATGACTACCTACTTCATTGTTACACTACCAGATGATGGATAAAAAAGGCATAAAAGCACGAATATAATAATGGCCATTTGACATTGAAGTGAACTATCTATTTCACGAGAGATAAGTATTAAGTGATAGGGCAGTTACATATTGATACATATCTTTCTTCAGAATCCCTCAACATACTTTCATTGAAGGGGACATAATCTATCAACCTCTTCAAGACACAACATGGCTATGGGTAAGTGAAGCTGTCTCTAAATATGGACTATGTTTTGCATAGTTTTTGAATTGAAAAAACGAAGTGCCCTTGAGGTGTTTACATTAACAATCCAAAATATCATCTCTTATGTATCTAGACCGTTTTACATTTCTTGTTGAAATTATTTTTAAAAAAACACCCCAAAACATATCTCACTTTCTCTTCGATATATAGCTTACAGATAAACCCTTAACTCACTTTATTCTATGGATAAAACCTAAACGATTCAAAACCTGAAATAACTCAAATAATAAACCCATTGCAAGAGAATAACCGTTCTCGGTTATCTGTCGAAACGGCCGTTATTTGGTGTAAAAGATGGACTAGCGGTGTAATGGATCACTAAAATCAGATAGGTTTTCGCGAAAAGGGTATTCAAAAACGTTTGAAATACACCCTGCTTTCACTGACTTTATTCAGTATTTATTTTTTATTATTTATTAATGATAAACACATATTGTACTTTTCAATTACAGGCGAACAAGAAGGAGGTTCAAACAAAAACATAGCTTGCCATGTGCGGGTCTCGAAATGGTTCACGGACCGATTCAGAAATCTTGGAATCCTGATTGGTTCCCATCCTATCAAGCTCATCGCGTTGTCATTAATCGTGACTGCTGGTCTGAGCTGTGGGATGTTGAAACTGACGTCGGAGTCGGACACAGAAACTCTGTATACTCCAGTGGGTAGTCAGGCCTCCAAGGACAGAGAGAAGATTCGGGCAGTATTTGAAGACGACTCTGGCAGCAACTTCTTCCCTCGCTCATTGACAAAGTCCGACCTATACGGGGATGTCATATTTTCAACTGTAAATGTTGTTGATGAGGATTCACTGTCAACAATACAATTCTATATTGATCACATCAAGAATATAACTGTTACGCTCAACAATATTCAGTATTCCTACTCTGATGTATGTGCTAGACGAGATGGAAGTTGCTACAGATCTGGTGATACTTTCAATGGTTCTATTACTGTTGGTGTAACGTATCCAGTATTCAACAATATAGATTTGTCTTCAGTCTTAGGAAATGTCAACGCAAAGGACGGTAAATTAGTTTCAGCAGGGTACCTGAAAGTAACCTTCCACCTGAGGCAGGACTCGGTCATCCTTCGTGCTGCAGCGATTGCCTGGGAAGATGAATTCATCAAAGTAATGTCAACTTTGAAACCTGAAAACGTTACCATGAGCTATGCTACATCACAGTCTCTAAACAAGGAACTGAATGCCAACACTGGAGGGGACATCACTTACTTCTCAATAACGTTCACGTTGATGATCACTTATGCAACAGTAATCGTTGGTGGTGACATGGTGTCATCGAGGACGTGGGTTTCCTGGGCAGGTGTTCTAGCGGCTGGAATGGGGATAGCATCTTCCTTTGGTCTTGTTAGCCTGTGTGGAATGAAGTTTGTCAACATTGTTGGGACGATGCCATTTCTTGTCCTAGGTATCTGCATATTTCACAATACACGTATAACGCTTCTTGTGTTCACAAAGTAAAATAAAATAACAGACCACTCTTATCATGAAAGTGTTGTTAGATGAGGTTTTAAAACTTATATTTTATAACAGGTATTGGTGTGGACAGACCACTCTTATCATGAAAGTGTTGTTAGATGAGGTTTTAAAACTTATATTTTATAACAGGTATTGGTGTGGACAGACCACTCTTATCATGAAAGTGTTGTTAGATGAGGTTTTAAAACTTATATTTTATAACAGGTATTGGTGTGGACGACATGTTTCTGTTGATGTCAAGTTGGGCGGACACCTACCCTCATCAAGACGAATCTGTGGCAAACAGAATTGGGATGACGTTTGCTTCAGCTGGCATGGGTATCACCATAACGTCACTGACGGACCTTCTTGCCTTCATAACTGGAACATCCTCCGTCTTCATCAGCGTCCGGAACTTCTGTGTTTATACAGGTATGGAGTCCCGTGAATGTAATCTTAATCTGATATATTCGAGTTCCCCACTATAAATACTTTATTATTAGTCGATGGGGAGGGAATTTGCATTCATAGTAAGAGGGTTGTTGTTATTCTCATCGTGTCACATATGAGATTACATACTAAAATGAATGGAGGAATCCTTATTCCTCTTTCTATTAGATTATGTAGTTTAATAGATTGTGTATCGTTCTGCAAATGTTCCAACATCTGTTTCCCCAGGGGTGGCCGTCATATTCTCCTACCTGTACCAGTGCTTCTTCTTTGCACCTTGTCTGAGTCTTCACGGCAGCCGAGTAGACGATAGCCGACACTGTGTGACCTGCCTCAGAGTGAAAAGTCGGTTGGACTACAGAGAAGAGAACAAAAATTGTCTCTACGTGTATAGTTGTGGAGGAAGACGTCCTAAAGAAAGAGAGCAAGATGAACGTATATGCGAGACTGGTCCAAGAAAAATACTCCCAGTCATACTCCTTCATGTTGCTGGTAAAATAACAGTCGTAGTTGTGTTTTTATCATACCTTGGTGTATCCATATATGGTCTTGTCAACCTAAAGCAAGGTCTTGATCTAAAGAACCTGGTTTCACCATCCTCTCATTTCTACTCATACACAGATATCAAAGACACCTACTTTCCCAATACTTTCCCAATTCCTTTCATATTTGAAGACACAACCAACTATTTGAACAAAGACACAATAACACAAATTAACAAACTGCTTGCAGAAGCACAATCAGACAGTGAAGTAAGTTCAAAGTCTCCAATATGTTGGTTGACGAATTACATGAATTCTTCCTATTTTGACGACACGAGTTTGATAGAGTTTGTATCAGGGGCGCAAGACTTTCTAAATGAAACACCAGCATTCAAAAGCGACGTGGCTTTTGACGATATCGGTGAACATATTATTGCTAGTCGCTGTTACCTGTTCTCTGATGACATCAAGGATTCTAATAAGCAGGCTCGGGTGATGACTCGGATGCGAGATCTGGCAGATGGCTCTCCCCTATCAGTTTACACTTATTACCCTGCCTTCATCTTCTTTGAGCAGTACGTCGCTATTCTACCCAGCACTCTCCAGACTGTTGGGGTAGCCCTTGTCGCGATGACTGTGGTCACGTGTATCTTCATGCCACACCCACTCATGATAACACTAGTTGTTTTCAACATTGTGTCCATACTGGTCGGAATATTCGGCTTCCTGTATTTCTGGGATCTTAGTCTCAGCTCAGTCACTATGATCCATCTCATCATGTCTGTTGGTTTCTCTGTTGACTTCAGCGTCCACGTCTGCTCAGCCTTCATGCTTGGGGAAGGCAGCACTCGTCGTGAAAAAGCCAAATATTCTATTGTTCATGCTTCAGGTCCCATACTAAATGGCGCCATCTCCTCTTTCCTTGGCGTCATCGTCCTGGTCTTTTCCGAGTCCTACATCTTCAAATCCTTCTTCAACATTATGCTCACGGTTACGTTGTTGGGTATGCTGCATGCAGTGTTTCTTCTTCCAGTTGTCTTGTCCCTAGTTGGACCAACGGGGTCCCCAGTTGGACCAACGGAGTCCCTAGTTGGACCAAGGGAGTCGCCAGGAAAAGCAAGTCGTCCAGCTAATTCACAACAAGCTGAAACAACAAATTAACATGCTTAACCTTCTGGAGTTCATATCTTGCTCTTAATTATGTATTTGATGAATTTGATTCTCAGTTGCACAGACAAAAAACATATATCCTAACAGCAAACCGTACAGATTATTACTACTATTACTATGGTATTTGCTGAACACTAGATTCCACCTGAATTCAGCTCCGCAAAACCGCTTTCAAAGATTGCATGAGGCCAGAAATAATGAGTCAACATGTATGTTTTGGTGAATAGCAGGGCTTTAATTTGGAATGAACCCACTTTAGATAGCAAAACAACTCAAAAAGTAGAAGTAGATGAAAGTACTTTCATATTTTGGCTTTTGTGAGTGGTCTGGCAGCTATGTTCTTCCATCATTACGTCACGTCAAGAAGACGACCATATACGGTTGGTGCATCTACGGTATGGATATCAAATAGTAAGAGTAACTGCTCAGACAAATTCGGGGTTGAGATCAATTTGTTGGTGAATGAGTACAACACCCGGCGACAACATCGCCAATATTGCTTCAATATTGCTTCAAGGTCACTGTCAGGACGCCTAACTTGGTACATATTTCTCATGAATTTAGAACTAGTTTTAGTCACGATATGTCTGAAATATTGCCGTTGTGACTTAAAATCTTAACTCACTCACTCACCCTAACTTGGTACAGACAGTATCTGCGGTCCAGAAGACAAAACTAGGACAGTACACTGTTCACAAATGAGTCCAGATCTCAAATGGACAGCTGATGGTCGAGCAAGGATCTCCAGACGTGCAAGAAAACTTTTCTTAATGTCGTCGATGTCGGGATTGAGGTGTAATGGTACATTTAAATGACGTACGCTACCTGAAAGACATTTATGTAAAAGAAAGGATCGTTGCAGCGTTTTATAATGTGCAGATTTCAAAAATCGTTGAGCGTTTTCATAAATTGTTAAAGAGATTGTTCAAAATCATAACACTTTTCTCATCGGTTCATGATAGAAATTTATATCATGTGAAGCTCACCTTGCGTTTATATAAATAACCATATACATAACACTAATGGTTTGCATGCGTGAGTGGAAGAAGCTCAAACGTCGTCCGTCGGGTTCGTACTAGTTGTGTGACGATTCATCGATATGCATCGATGCATCGACCCATGGGCCGCCGAATCGTAAATCGATTCAAAGTTTTACATTGTCGTATATCCCGATACGATACGTCAAATGGGCCTCGATACATCGATGTTTCACTTTGAATATTGCCGAATGCCGATATCTGTCAAGATATACCGTTTTCAAAATCAGCACAAATTTCATTGACAGCATCCAACATCCAGCAACATGCACATATTAAAGATGTTTTTGATCTGTTTTGTATTCATAACAGTATTATGGGGTTTTTTATTTTGTGAAATCTATGATAAACTAGTTATTTTACTGTCCTTCGTTGACAGGGTTTTATAATTTACCTCTATTTATTATGAAATTGTTTTTAGTCACGATATGGCTGAAGTATTGCCGATGTGACTTAAAATATTAACTAACTCACTCACTCATTTATTTATTTTGTACTTGCCTGATGTGACTTTTTCAAATTAAAGTTTCGTTCATTTAAATATTGTTTTTGTTTTGATCTTAAGGTATTTTATAGTTCGTGTGTTTGAATTATATTTTAATATCGTGATACGTATAGTATTGCCATCCTTATATCGGTGGCTTCAATGCACAATACTTTGGCACTATATAGTCGTGACTAAAATGTTAGTATCGTGATGTATCGTATCGCAGGTTGTATGCCAATACCAGCACTAGCCAGTTCCATATAATAGTGGGAGATGATGTTGCTAGGTTATGATGATACGTTTAAAGGTTAAGACGTCCGCTTTAAAACCCATAATTAATGTTAACATTGGCGAGAGCTCACTTCAGGGAAGACGAAAGCCCCATCCCCTGACCCGTGAAGATCCGGGGTAGAATAGGTCTTCAGCAACCCATGCTTGCCACAAAAGGCGACTATGCTTGTCGTAAGAGGCAACTAACGGGATCGGGTGGTCAGTCTCGCTGACTTGGTTGACACATGTCATCGGTTCCCAATTGCGTAGATCGATGCTCATGCTGTTGATCACTGGATTGTCTGGTCCAGACTTGATTATTTACCGACCGCTGCCATATAGCTGGAATATTGCTGAGTGCGGCGTAAAACTCACTCACTCACCCATCCCCGATTGATTTTTTATTAACACCAAGACACTTATACCTGGAATGAGGACTTTTCTTTTAGGTGACTTGTTGTAAAATTCACTCTTTATGCAGATGATGTTATCATCATTATTATTCTTGCTTCGCTAAGAGAATGAGAAGAACGGATTGTGACGTGGTTTCGTCCAGGGGGTATTTCATTTGTAGTTCTCTAGTGCCGATTGCGATGCCCAATTCGCATTTAAGTATTTCGTTTCTGATTACTAAACTAATAACTGGTATAATCATCAAGGTAGAGAAGATACAGAACATGCTGTTCTACACTCAAAAAAGAGACTAGGGACATTTTAGGTATAGCATTATTCTATCAACACAGAAAATGATTGTTTGAATCATTCACAAATAACATTTATACATCTTCATCCATACTGACATTTTACCTCACCTGGCCTGAAAAGCCCAATGAGTTGGGTCGTCCTCCTTCGCCGGCTTGGTATAAATATAATATATTGCATATAATATAATTAGTGTGTGATACTTATCATTTTGACCTTTGCTAATACTTAGCTGTGTTGAAAACCAATTGTACTGTACTGCTCTCATACTGCATGTTTGACTCTGTTGACATAATTCCTGACAATGCTGAACTTGGGCGTACATATTTCTTCTTATAGTGACATCACGTGTTTTTGGAATATATTTGAAATTTAAAACAGTATTCTCCTAAGAAGATACAAAAACTTTGAGAGAAGGGTACTTTACTCTTCTGCATTGAAACTGTTGAAAATAGATTAGTTTTCTGCAAGATTTGGTAACATTTGTTAGTGTCATAATTGGTCAAACTGTTTTCCTCAGTTTTCTGCAGGAAACATTTTAACAGCAATGCTGCAAAACAAATTGTGACATTCTCTCTGTGGACATTTTAAACTGACTAAACATCCAGGTGAACTACAGTGTCGTGGCACACTTAACATTTTTATTGTTTCCTTTTCATTTACAATTTATTGTCCAGTTCGCATAGTCTTCAATCCATTGCAAGACTATGATGTTGCAAAATATTGATGTAATGTAATTTACTACTGTTCATCGAGATTGGTTTTATTCACTGGCGGTTATGCTCTCTGTTTAATTAACTGAAGAGTCTAGAATGCGTGAGTATGGTTTTACGCCGCTTTTAGCAACATTCCAGCAATATCACGGCGGGGGACACCAGAAATAGGCCTCACGCATTGTACCCATACTTTGTACCCATGTGGGGATTCAAACCCGGGTCTTCAGCGTGACCAGCGAACGCTTTAACCACTAGGCTACCCCAACGCCCTCTCTAGAATAACAATAAGGAAGGAGATAGTCGTTTACTCGTGCTCAATAGTGTACAATGTCCAGTAAAGTATATGTCCAAGTGCAGCCGACTAATCCTGACTGTATGCCCAAAAGGATCACTTTAGCCTCCAAATAGTCAACTTTCCACTGGTAAATCGAGGCGTCTACCGTTTACACTTTGGGTGCAATCGACCATGCTCTTCCTCTTTTCTACTAACATTTCAAAAAAGTGTCTTACGACACGTTGCTTTAACGTTGTTTGATCAGGAATACGACATAGAAGGTCAGGGTAAAGCTTTCAAAAGATTTTTATTTGGGACGTTGTCTGGAGCAGTTCTCTGTTTGGACTTAAGCAAAAATTATGTTCGAGTACATGTGTTGGTGAGTGTCGAAGTTTCCTTAGAAGGAGCCACTAGTAACTCGTAAAACAACACGTAGTAATTCATAAAACATGTAATAACTCATAAAACCTGTTGAATAACACCTAATAGTTTTATATTAAATGTTTCAGTATATAACTTGGCAATCACAAAACGTTTGCATTTATGGCCTTGTTTCTGACAATGTGGATTATTCTGCATAGGAGATAAACAGTATAAATCGGAAATCAAATCAATTATAAAGCATGTAAAATTAAATATCTTGGAGAAATAATAAACATATCCTATATTTTTGCATATTCTTCTCTTTTTGCGTATTACTGCTATTCCAGCATTTTAAAGGGAGGACTCTGCAGTTTTCCTGTTTAATACAAATGAACATATATCGTGATAAATACGAAGAACCTTTCAGATGGCGTTCCACTCTTCTCTGTGGTAGCTCCTAGGAATCGGTCTCTAATATACTGAAAACGTTTCAAGGAATCATTAGGTTAGAACATAAATGTTATTTTTTTTTTAGTGTTATGGAGTAATCCTAATCGTTTAATGTTATTCATACATTTGATATTCCAAATATGTTGAATCAAAATGATGACATGTAAAACAAACCGCCTCCGTGGTGTAGTGGTTAGAGCGTCCGCCCGGAGAGCGGAAGGTCGCGGGTTTGATCCCCGACCGCGTCATACCAAAAGACGCTCAAATATGGTACTTGTTGGTCCCTGCCTGGCGCTCGGCATTATTGGGTACAACAAGGACTGGTCGGCTCGGAGTCAGTATAATGTGTCTGAGAGGGGTATTCATGCTTCACTGCGGCATGGTAGACAGACAGATAATATATTTGAGTCTCACCTCAACATCATACATATGTACATAGAAGGGAATAATAAAACGTTGAGGCAATCTTTACAGACTTATGAGAGATTATATCATATAAAATCGGATCTTATCAAAGTCGCTAAAAGACAAAAAACTCACAATAAGCTGCTCACATTTACTAAAAAGGACACCTCTTTCAAAAGAATAAAGTGGACAGTGCAGTAAAACATGACATTCATCTTCAATAAAATCATTACAGTAAAAACACGTTCTTTCCTTTAGAGGAGTACAATTATAACGTCCAGTTTCAACTCTTAGAGGAGCAATACCACATCTAAAAAGTGCTAAAGCACGTCTATAAGAGCGAGGCATGTGGCTAAATAAATACAATTTAGGATGATATTCATCTTTAAAGGTAGCATATGGTATCTCAGTGGGCTAGCACTATAAAACCAGCTTCAGTCTGGGCTAGTACAAGCAGCCGCACATACACATACACACGCATGTACGTCGTCATATGAGCGAAATATTCTCAAGCATGTCGTAAAACCCACTTTCACCTCACCTCACCTCACCTCACCTCACATCACATCACATGTAAAACATGAAGCATGCGAAACGTTACATGGATACTAGCATTCCGCTGACCAAGACTGATCGTGCGTTTTCAGAAGGCAATTAATGGATTACATGGAACATATGTGTGCTATAAATGGTAACAATGAAAATGACATTTCAATGTACAAATATACACGATTGCAACCTATCGGCATGCCCAAATCCACTCTCCCGACATCGGGAGCTTTGTGGCTAAATCATGTTATGGTCACGCCCAAACTTGGTTTCGATTCTCCTCATGGTGTGATGACTGCCATTTGCTTCATGTTATACATCAAGTGGCCGAAGCTCAAGCACATTGACGCAAGTATGGCTGATAACCACATTGTGTTCGTATTAAGTTACATCGGGTATCTTTCAACAAAATGTAGCATTAATACATGCAGACACAAAATGCAAATTGCAAAGTTCATGAATTATGAGCATAGACCGCTAAGAAAGTATTTGATGTGCTCATACATACTGAATGCCTTCATAATTCTCAAGACCGTTGTTGCGAATATGAAAATTAAAAATACTTGCTCAAAAAAGGCACATATATGTAACTCCTTTTATTTCTATGAATATATTGTACTATATACCCACTGAGAATATATATCCGTTCCTGGTTGTCCCCCGCAGTGATGTTGCTGGAATATTGCTAAAAGCGGCGTAAAACCAAACTCAGTCAGAAAGTCTGAGAATATATAGAGCTTACATACAAACAGACAGACAGACAGACAGACAGACAGACAGACAGACTAATTAATAAAGTCTCACTTCATATAAAATAACCACATACAGAATAAAATCATTAAAAGTGAGTCACCCGTCAACATACTATAGAGCAGTATTACACAGCACATAGCATGTAAAAAATCAGACAACATATTTGAACAATAAAATGTAAAATCACAAAGAGCATACTCTATGAATAAATAGTTTGTTGTCTTGTTAACGCCGCGCACTTTTCCATCTATATGATGGCGGTCTGTAAATGATCGAGTCTGATCGACAATCCAGTGATTGAGATCATGATAATCGATCTATGCAACTGTGATACGATGACATGCATTAACCAAGTCAGCACAACTGACCATCCAATCCTGGCAGTCACCCCTTACGAGTGGCTAGAGACTAAACTAAAATTAATTTAACGGGTTTGTGTATAGTTTCAGGAAAGAATACCTGGTACTCTTTCGAGACACACACCACTTTGTGAAC